ATGAATGTATTGGCCCCAATAAGATATCTATCACTGGCAGAACTACAATAGGGCAGGGGGGCTGTTGTCCCCCCAGAATTTTTTATTTCTTTTACTACTATTATATATATACTAATATTTATAGATATTTACAAATATTTATATATGGCCCACATTAAAAAATAAATTATTATTTCCACCTTTTAAATTTAATTTTCTTTTATAATTTATCCTATAAAATATTTTTTACAATCTCAAGCACCAATCTCTATTAAATTTAGCTTATCATAAAAAAAAAATTAACATAAAAAAGAAAGTATTTTTTTCTTTCTTTTCAATATTTAAAGTTTTCACTCTATCGAATTTCTATTATTTCAAGATTTTATTTTTTAAGACACTTTTACTTATTCAACTAAATGTTACTATATTGCAATTTATTTTATATAAGTTTATGAATATTGTTTTGACAAAAAAATCTATTACTCATTACTTATTTGAGTTAGTTTTCTTCATAAATATCCCTAAAAAAATTCGGGGGCGCTGCCCCCGAACCCCCGACATATTTTTATTAATTCTCTAAAGTTTTCGGCCCCCCTACCGAAAAATCCTGGTTCCCCCTGATATCTATAATATAAGAATACCACATTACTAGCCAACAAGTACGTTTTCATAAAGATACTATATGATGAATTAAATTGTACAACAAGTATGTTTTCGGTGTATTACATGTACTTTATTGTAAAGCGTATTTATAATTTTAATGAATTTAATTGTATTAATTTCCTAGACACTTTAGTGATAAATGAGTGTGAGAAGGACAACAAATATATTTTAAATGACTATTTTAAGGTTGCTGAACATTGGTGCTGCATTGAAATCCAAAATAGCACAAATGTGTTGTATTCTGTAGATGATACTAACATAATCTCAAAACTTGTCTCTAAAATCACGATTGTTGTGTTCTTCCCACAATCAAGACGCTTGCAATTTTTTTTTGTATTTTGTATTTTAAGCCTCTCATTCGAGAGGTACTACTGGAAGAAGCCATGAATAAGAACTAAATAAGCCTAATGCTATTATAAGTTCTTAAAAACAATTATATTATGACTTTATTACTTTTGATGAAATGTACCTACTCTATTATTTTGTACGGATAAAATTCATTTCTAACACATACTATATTATTTGTAAGATGTACCATGTGTACATATCTACAGTACCTTTTGAATGAACAAAATGTACCTTATTAGTTAATCATCAATGAAGATAGTGCATGATACATGATGCATAATACAAACAACAAAAACAAGTACATATTGATAAAGAGTATAAACTACAAAAGAATAAAATTCAAACAAAACATATTGTTCCACTTTCTTATAAAAGAAACATAAATTTCCATTAAAGTCGAATCGCTCTTAATGGGAATGTGTAGTTGATCTTTGTACCAATAACTCCCAAGAATTAGGAGCCCTCTATTTACGCAAAATTTGAGAGCAAAGAAGTAATAACGAAGACGAAGACTTTGAAGATTCAAGCATAGTTTTTATCTTCCATGATTTATTTTTATTTAGCTTTTAATTTAATCATGAGTAGCTAAACTTTCTATTTCTAGGATTTTGTTTGAACTCTATATGGGATTTATAAACCCTTTTCCATGATTTTATGCAAGTTTTAATTCCGGATTATTTCTTTTACTTGTTTTATTAAATGTATGAGATTGGCCACTTTATGTGCTTTTATGTTATTGCTAACTGCATGATTCGGAAGATCAGGTTAATAATTAGAACTTTGGTAGAAGAACTTTGTTGTGCTATCGTAGGAATATAGTTAGCATCTTGCCAATATTATTGAGATCTATGCTTAATGTTGTGTTCTAGATCTAATTACGTAGGAATACAATAATTTAATCTAAAATATTAGAATCATAATACACGCGGAAGCGGGTTATGATTAATTTAGCATCTCCGATCAAGTTAATTTATTACTTGCATAATTGAAGGAATGAGAAATTATTAATCACATAGGGTGAAGATAAAATTCTAGGACTTTCTAATTTGATCAAAATCTTCGTGCTAGTTGCTTACTTGTTTTTGCATACTTTTTAATTTCAGAAAATTTAGTTTCATTTTAGAATAAGTCAATCAGCTTTCAACTGTGTAGGGTGGGCTTGAATATAGTTGTGAGAATCTAGCACTTAGGATTAGACAGTTGAATATTCCTCGTGGGATCGATAGTTGGACTTTTAGTCAATTATATTACGTGTACGATACATGCACTAGCTTGTAGGTATTACCACCAACACACAATTATAATCGACTACCTCTATATTTTTTTTAATTGTTATTATTATTTTTATCTCTTATTTTCCAGCTTATTTTCTCTAATTCTTCTTTGTTTCATTTATTAAATAATCAATTTCATATTATGACAATTCAGTTTATATATATTTTTTGGAATGCGATTGTATTATTAAATTTATATGAAGGGTCCATTACAAATTAGTCTATCATGGGATACTTATTCATAAAGGGATCCAGACAAAAAAAATATTTTATAAAAAAGTCCAGTGATTATTTAGAGGTGTGTAAAAGACTAAAATATCCCCTCACATTTTAATATACTCAAATTTTATCATTTAATTCAATTTAACATCAATTTGACCCTAAATTTCACAAATTATTTAGTTTTGACCAAAAACTCAATTTTGAGTACCATTTTGCCCGTCAACACCGTTGATTTTTTATTTATTTTTTCTCCTGTTTTTTTCGCCGGTTTCATGCGTTAACATTTTTAAAAAGAATTCTTCTTTCTACCGCCGCTGACTGGCGGTCAACGCTGGTCTCCGACGGTGTTGATTTTTTTTTCTTCAACATCTTTTTTCCCATTAACAGTAATTTTGTTGTGGTTGACAGTCATATTAACTATATTTAACACAGTAAAATTATTATATTACACTCTAGCACAATAATATTAACACAACAAAAATCACTATTATTGTTTAATATCGTAATATTAATATGTTGATTGTTCAACAAAGACAAACATAATAAAAAGACAATTAATATTGATGTGTTTGCCCGTAATATTACTGTCATCCACAATAATATTACCACAACGACAGTAATACTACCGTCAACCACAGTAATATTATTGTGTCTATAGTAATATTACAATAGAAGACAATAATATTATTACGATAATCGGTCAACAAATCAAACAAAATAAAAAGGCCAAAAAAATAATAGTAATATTATTGTGTTTACAGTAATTTTACCGTCAACGACAGTAATATAATTACGTTGACTTATCAACAAATAAAATAAAATAAAATAAAAATACCGAAAAATAATAATATGGTTGTGATTGATAGTATAATTATTGTTAATAACAGTATAATTACGGTCAACGTTCAACGGTCGATGTAAAAAAACAGGATAAAATTTTAAGGGGAATTTTTTTTTAAAAGTCAACGCCAGAAACCGGCGGTGGAAAAAAATCAACGCCGGAAACCGGCACTGGAAAAAGCAGACAGAGAAAAAGTAAATAAATAAAGTCAACGCCGGAAACCGGCGGAAAAAAAAAAAAGCATAAAAATAAAGTTTAAAAAAAGAAAACGTCAAAATTAGATTTTTGTGGTTAAAATAGATTAAATTGAAATTAAATTGGGGTTACAATTATAAGTTGGGTTTAAAGGATTGGGGTAATTTTATCATATACATTAATTTTGCCTTTATTTATAATACATATTAAATAAATGATCGACTTATTGGGAAAATAGATATAAACCCTCTACCTATAAAAATATAAATTGTTGATCAGATACTTATTCATAAAACCCTTGTATAAATATTGATATCGTTACCCACGTTACTAATAAATTTTCCTATAGTTGCGATCATTATGTATTGAATTAATTATTTGATTTGGTCCGTAGGTCTTCGTCTTCCTCAAGCTAGCTCCGTCCGTACTCCGGGTGAATAAACCTGCAACGCCGGGAGGGGTTCCCGGCGGGAAAGCTCCGACGATCAAGTCAGTGATCGGAATAGAGGAAAAACGTGTATGCAATATAACAGTGATCAGTGTATATTTTTTCGTGTATGTGCGTATGTTGATTCTCTTATTTATAGATGAGGAAAGCTTGGCTTCCAAGGCTTTCCTTTTTTAGGGTTTCCCTTTTCCCTCAAGTCATGTATCTTGGGCCTATATTGTCCTGGGCTCGCCTTACCCCGTTTTGGTATTGGGCTGGCGAGTGAAGGTACTCCCGCGAGGTTCGGAGGTTCGCGTCATACGACGACTTCGGTCATAGTACCGAACTAAGTCATCATGGGTTCTTCATTATGGGCCTATCATATTGGACTTACCCTAATGGGTTTATGCTTATTTGTTAATTGTCAACCGAGCCCATATCAACTACTCCCCCCTACTCCTTATTTATAATACGAGTATGCTCCTTCTCACCTCGTGTTATAAATACGGAGTACGAGGTGCGAGCTCGGACTTCGGTTCACGTATGGTTGGTGCACGCAACCTTCCCACTTTTCCTCCATTTAATTACTCTGACATCCCGTGTGGTCGATTCGGGTTCCCCAGGTCATCATGGAAAAATTTCAATCAGTGCTTTCAGCGTCGGATTCGAGGCATCCTACATTGAATCTTGGCCGCCCGAAGAAACGGTTATGATTGACCTTCCCTTTTCCCTAGGTCATTATTGAGGAATTTCGATCGGCGCCTCTTGCATCGGGTTCGGGGTGACTTACTTTGAATCTCGGCCATCCGAATAGACGGTCACGATCGAGTTTTCTCCTTTCCCTTCTTCTATAAATACCTGGCCCTTGCCATTTTTTAAGATTTTTTCTCTTTCCACCCTTGTGCTTTCTCTTCTCTTATTACTTCTTCTCCGGCGAACCTGCTTTTCCGAGACAGAGATATTATCCTTCGTGCCCATTTTCTACCCCGACAAAGGTACTACTTCTTTCCCCCATCTCTTATTACCTCCGCCTTAACTCTTCGAATTGATAATGTCTGCCCGTTCTCCCGATCCTTTCGGCCAAAAAGTGCCCTCCGGGGAGGGGGATGAAAACCCCGCTTTTTCTATTTCTTCCTCGTCGGAGGAGGGACCCTACTTCTCCCCCTCGGGCAAACTCTTAGAACGGCCCAAGAAGAGGGGCAGAAAAGAGGTTTCGTCTTCTGCGAGAAGTGGTTCTCCTTCCCTATCTGAAGGACGAGATTTGGATGACCAATGGGGACCTAGTACTTTAAGCGAGACATATCTGAATAACTTAGTTCGCGACATAGGCCTCCCTACCAATGTCGAATTGATTCTTCCTTCGCGAGATGATCGCCCTCTAAACCCTCCTTTAGGTTTTAGCACTTGGTTTTCGGAGCAATTCTACTTCGGTCTATCTTTTCCTATCTCGCCCTGGTTTTCCGAGATTGCCCAATTATGTAACGTGTCCCTTAACCAATTCCACCCTCACGCCATAATAATCATGACCGGATTCCGCATGCTGTGCGCCTGGTCGGGGGTGATTCCCACACCAGCTCGCTTCCGGAGTGTGATGGTATTAAAGAATTCGAGTCCTTTCCATGTCTCTATCTCGGCTCGACCGGGTTTTAAGATTCTGATGCCACCTAATAAAACCGATGGGTGGCAAGGTCATTATTTCTTTGCCAGAAATCCTGTCGACACGCCCTATTTGTGTCCTTGGCTCGCCACCCTGCCTGAAAAGAAAAGGGGGAAACCTTTGGCGGTTGACGATTGTTTGTTAAAAATGATATCCCACTTTCAACCGAGCCACGGCGTCCCTGATAGCCTCACCAGCTTTCCGCCAATGCTTCGCCACTTTCGTTTTCACGACAACGGCACGTATTCTCTAACTCGGGAAGATTTAGGTGGGTTTGGTTATAACACTAATTCTTACCTCGACTCGTTGTCTTACTTCGGTCGGTTTGTTTTTTATTGTTTCGCTAGTTATGTACTTGTATGTCTTGTATCTCACCCACGTATCTCCCTTGCCCGTTTGTTTTGGTGCGTAGATCTAAGGATGAAGAGGATGTTCCGAGGTGACAAGCCGGCTACCCGTCCCTCCGATCCGGAACCTGGGTTCGAGGCGTCTGAATTTCAGCGCCCTCTAATCGCTGAATCCGAGAAAAGACCCTCGGAGGAAGGGGCTCTAAGGCCCAGGCCATCGAAGAAAAACGCCGCTCCTCCTCGCGCCCGTGGTGGACCTGCTTCGCGAACTGAGGACTCTGAACCTCCTAAACAATCCTCCGCGATAGTTCTCGCCCCGTCACCGCCTCCTTCTTCGACCGAAGAGGTGGTAGAGAAAGAACCTGCTTCGAAGAAACGGAGGTCTGAGCTGGCCCTTGGGGCGGCTGGGTCATCTTTACCGGCCGACTTTGGACTGTACCTCTGCCGGAATGCTGAAAACGCTATTGCTGCGTGCCGGTCCTTGGCATTCCCCACCGATGTCGCCCACTTCGGGCAAATGAGTAAGGGCGACCGACTTGAGTTGCTTCTTCATAACATTACACAGGTTTGTTTCACGCTGTTCTTGTGAATTAGTTTTTGCCATAGCATCTTGTATTTAAGATTAACTCCATTTGACCTCTTTGTGAGTGCAGCAATTCGCCATCGCCTTTTCGGGTCCCCTGGGGTGGGATGATGTTTCACGCGAGGCGTATGATAATCAGAGGAAAGAGGTGATGCAGCTCCGGAAGGAAGTCCGGGGCTTGAAGGAGAGTTTGGGAGTGTCGGAGTCCTCGAAGGAGGGGCTGTTTGCCGAAGTGAAGAGGCTGAAAGAGAGAGAAAAAATCCTTGAGGCTGAAAAAGACTCCCTTGTATCCCATAATGCCAATTTGGAGGAGAAAGCTAAGGGGCTTTCCAACGAGCTGTTCGCAGCTGGAGTACAGGCCTCCACCAATTTCACCGAAGGGGTGAAAGAGGGGCAAAGGTTGTTCCCGGGGTCGCCTGAGGGTCTTCGCTTCATCGAGGAGTTTGTTCGCCGCTTCTTTCACCGATTGTGGCGTTCCACCACGTTTACTCGAGAAGCTTCAGGCTTAGCTCGTTTCTTCTTTTCGTCGGCGGTTGCGGCTGTTCGGAAGAGGTTAGGCGGTGCCGGCATCGAATTCCCGTTGGTGGAAAATGAACTGGCAGAGGACCTCCCCGACGACGTGTTCCGGGTTTTGAGGGGGATGTAAATGAGGATCCCAACTTAGAGTGGTGGAGGCCGGTTTATCAAGGCCTCGTTGAAGAATTCTCCCGTCAAGGGGCTATTACCGACTTCGCTGGAGACATCGGGGCCCTTGGGACGGTGGTTGGTTCCGAAGAGGCACAGCCAAGCCTCGTTGCGCCGCCCCCTCCGGATGCTGAGAATCGGAGTGAAGCAGTTCCGAAGTGAAGACCAAAAAGACTTAACCATTTTTTGTGTTTTGTACTTTGAATATGTATTTCTTGAATATTACTTTCTTTATTTCCTTTTGTCATGTACCCTTAACAATTTCTCCGTTTTTCCATATGCTTGAAACGTCTTTATTCGCTTTTATGTCTTTGTTGTTTTGGACTTCAGACTTAGTCTGTCAATATCCTCACTGATCTCCAGTGGTGTTTTATTCCTTAAGCTTATCCATTAGTTCAATCTTGTACCATTCCTATATTTTAACTCAGTACCCAATCTTAGTATTTTGCTTTCGAATACGCGAGTTAATGTCACAACGAAACACGCGAGTTAACGCCACGATGAAACACGCGATTTAACGCCACAGAAGGACACGCGATTTAACGCCACAATGAAACACGCGAGTTAACGCCACAAAAGAACACGCGAGTTAACGCCACGATGAAACACGCGAGTTAACGCCACAAAAGAACACGCGAGTTAACGCCACGATGAAACACGCGAGTTAACGCCACAAAAGAACACGCGAGTTAACGCCACAATGAAACACGCGAGTTAACGCCACAAAAGAACACGCGATTTAACGCCACAATGAAACACGCGATTTAACGCCACAATGAAACACGCGATTTAACGCCACAATGAAACACGCGAGTTAACGCCACGATGAAACACGCGAGTTAACGCCACAAAAGGACACGCGATTTAACGCCACAAAAGAACACGCGAGTTAACGCCACAATGAAACACGCGAGTTAACGCCACAAAAGAACACGCGAGTTAACGCCACAATGAAACACGCGATTTAACGCCACAATGAAATACGCGATTTAACGCCACAATGAAACACGCGATTTAACGCCACAATGAAACACGCGAGTTAACGCCACAGTTATAACTTAAGTAAATAACACAAGTACTTTTTTAACGTGGAAACCCTCCAAATAAGGAGAGAAAAAACCACGGGGCCTAGCCCAGATCGGAAAATGGATGTTTATTAATGGTTGTTTTGCCTGTACAAGGTGTGTCTCGATTTCGCTGGCGTAATTGCCTCGATTTCCTTTATCTCTCTTTCTCTCTCTTTTTTTTTTTTTTTTTTTTTTTTTTTTTTTTTTTTTTTTTTTACGCGAAGAAGCGTTTCAGATGTATTATGTTCCAAGCCCGAGGTAACGGCTTCCCGTCGATGTCTGCCAACTCATATCCTCCGCCGGCCAAACACCTGGTGACTGTGTATGGTCCTTCCCAATTAGCCTCCAACTTTCCCGTGTGTTTTAGCGCGTCCGCTCGTCGCAAGACGAGGTCTCCGATCTGGAATGAGCGGGACCGCACCCCCTGATCATACCGAGCTTTAATCAAGTTTTTACTTCTTTCCATGTGCAAATACGCCGTTTCCCGAAGATCGAAAACTTCGTCCAGCTGTGATCTTAAAGCATCATCGTTTGTTACTTCGTCAAATGCGGCGATGCGGAGCGTGTCCATTGCCACTTCGACCGGTATAACCGCTTCAGTTCCGTAGGTTAACCGCAACGGTGTTTCGCCAGTAGCTGCTTTGGATGTGGTCCGGTAAGACCATAGGACGGAGGGCAACTCGTCTACCCAACTTCCACCCAGCTCGTCTAACCTTTTTTTCAACCCATTGACAATGGTCCGGTTTACGGACTCCACTTGTCCATTGGCCTGGGGGTGCGCTACTGCTACGAATTTTTGTGCAATTTTCATCTCTTCGCACCACGCTCGAATTTTCTTGCCGTTGAACTGAGTGCCGTTGTCCGATACAAGGCTTCTAGGTAGGCCAAACCGACAGCAGATATTTTTCCAAATGAAGTGCATGACCTCGTCTTCTGAGATTTTCGATAAGGCTTCAGCTTCAACCCACTTGGTAAAGTAGTCTACCGCGACAATGATGAACTTTTTTCGACCCGTGGTTTGAGGGAATGGCCCCACCAGGTCGATTCCCCATTGGGCGAAAGGGCATGGAGCACTCATGATGGTCATTTCCTCCCCCGGCTTGTGGATGAGCGAGGCATATTTTTGGCATTGTATGCAGTGTTGAACATATCGGTACGTGTCCTTCTTCATGCCAGGCCAGTAATATCCGGCCCGGTGTAGTTTCTGCATGAGGGCCCGAGCTCCTCCATGCTCGCCACAACCGCCTCGATGCACTTCATCCAGAACATGCTTTACCTCCTGCTTTCCTAAACACCTTGCATCTACTGTGGTGAAGTTTCTTTTATATAATGTCCCATGCCGTACGTAAAAGTGCCTTGCCTTATATGCCAAACGGTGCTGTTCTCTCTTGGTGCCAGCTCGCTCTCCTCTGAAGTATTTGAACAAGGGTGTTCTCCAATCCGGCTCTTCATCTATTGTCATTATCCCCGGTGTTGGGGTGGGGGCAATAGGATAGTGATCTTTCTTTCAATGCAGTCAACGACTGACGACCCAACTTTAGCGAGGAAGTCAGCTCGCTGGTTGTCGTTTCTCGGAATTTGATGCATGGTACAGACTTCAAAAGTTTCTTGCACAGCTCGGGCTTTATTTACATAACTCTTCATTCTATCGTTTTTTATTTCGTAGTCTCCTTCGAGTTGATGTATTACCAATTGAGAGTCGGAGTATATTCGCACCACGCGCGCTCCGAGCTCTTGGGCGATCTCCATACCTCGGATAAAGGCTTCATACTCTGCTTCATTATTGGAAACTCGAGGTAACCTGACGGCAAACTCGACTTCCGTTCCAGTGGGATCAATAACTATTATCCCTGCCCCCGCTCCCGAGGTTGTAGATGAGCCATCCACGTAAATTTTCCACTCCTTTTCGATGGGTATCCTGGTGGTTTCTCGGATGAAATCCGCTAACGCTTGTCCTTTGACCGAGGTACGGGGTTGATATTGGATCTCGTATTGTCCCAGCTCGATGGCCCATTTAACAATTCGCCCTGACGCGGTAGGTTGACCTAGGGTCTGCCGGAGGGGTAAGCTTGTGCGAATCACCATGGTATGCGACAGGAAATAAGGCCGGAGTCGTCGCGTAGTGAGGACCAGTGCGTACGCTATTTTCTCGACTTCAGAATATCGGCTTTCCGACGTAGTGAGGATCTTACTAGTATAGTAGATCGGCCTTTGTTGATTATTAATTTCCTTAAACAACACCGAACTGATGGACTCATCGCCCACTGACAAGTATACAAACAGGGTTTCGCCCTTTTCAGGGGTGCTAAGAATCGGCAAGCAAGTGAGAGATCGTTTTAATGCTTCGAATGCGAGCTGGCATTCGGCGGTCCATTCGAACTGAGCTGTTTTCCTTAGTACTTTGAAGAAAGGCAGGCTCTTATCAGCCATTCGCGATATAAACCGAGCTAGGGCTACAACTTTTCCTGCCAAGGATTGGACTTCCTTGATGGAGCGAGGAGGTGTCATCTGAAGTACGGCCTCCACTTTATCTTGGTTTACCTTGATGCCTTCCCGATTAACAATGTATCCCAGGAACTTTCCAGCTTGTACTGCGAATGCACACTTAGCAGGGTTCAACTTCATTCCATATAAACGAAGAGTTGCAAAGGTCTCAGCTAGGTCTGCGAGATGCGTAGAGCGCCTCTTGCTTTTAACTAACATGTCATCCACATAAACTTCAATGTTGCGTCCGAGTTGGGCCCGAAACATCCTATCCATTAATCGCTGATACGTGGCTCCCGCATTTTTCAGGCCGAAAGGCATCACCACGTAACAGTAAGTCCCCGTGGCGGTGACAAAACTTACTGCTGGCTGGTCCTTTTCGTCTAGCGGAATTTGGTGGTATCCTTGTGAGGCATCCATCATACTAAGTAGCTCGCATCCAGCAGTGGCATCTACAAGCTGATCTATGCGAGGTAAAGGATAATCGTCTTTCGGGCAAGCCTTATTTAAGTCCCTGAAATCGATACACATTCGCCATTGGCCATTAGCTTTCTGTACTAACACCGCATTGGACAGCCATGTAGGGAACTGAATTTCCCGGATGTGTCCGATTTCCAGAAGTCGTTGAACTTCCTTCTGTATGATTTCGTCTTTTTCGGTACCGAAGTGTCGCCGTTTTTGCTTGACGGGCCTGCACTCGGGTCGTAAATTGAGCCTGTGTACAGCAGTTCGCGGTGATATACCGGTCAAATCACTTGGTTGCCAAGCAAAAATATCTTCATTAGACCGCAATAACGCTATCAACTCATCCCGAAGAGGTGGTTCTAAATCCTTACTTATCCGGGTTTGTTTCATCATCCCAGGGACGAGGTCGATTGTCATCAATTCGTCCATGGGCTGTACATGATTAACTTTATCCTCTGGATCAACTCGGGGGCGCTTCTCGTCTCCCAAGTCTTCTTTGGTGAGGGTATCGCGTCGGCCCTTCTCTGCTATCTTAACCATTTCGACATAACACGATCTCGATTGGGCTTGGTCGCCTCTGACCTCTCCTACCATCCCATCAACCGGGAACTTAAGCTTTTGATGAATGGTCGAAGGGACCGCCCGAAAGGTATGTAACATTGGTCGTCCTATCACGATGTTATACGAGGTCGGCGACCCCTCAACGATGACAAAATTGACAGTTTGAGTGCGTGTTCGAGGTGGAGTTCCTATAGTGACAGGGATTTTAACTTGTCCAATCGGCGTCAGGGACCCTCCTGTGAACCCAAATATCGCTGTGGTGACGGGAAAAACCGGGAGATCAAGCTCCATTTGTAGGAAACACTCGTAAGATATGACGTCCACCGAACTTCCGGGGTCAACGAAGGCGCGAGCGACATCGTATCCTCCCACGTTAATCGTGATC